TAAGGTTGAGTAAGACAGTAAAACAGTGGGGGAAGGAGGAAAAAATTGGAAAAGAAATGAACAAATGTAGAGTGGTAAAATGTGTTAATCATAGTCCTCAAGTCTAATATTCTCAGTGATGATTTTGTTTTTAACTACTTTTGTCAGGTACAGCATTTATATTTCATATGTGACAAAACATAGCATGTTTCAATCATTATATATTTAGAAATGACTGCTATTATCACTCATGACACATTTTTAAATGTTAAACAGCATTGCCTTAGAGGTGAGTTCCACTTAACAGAAAATCTTTTGAAAAAACAAAAACAAGAAATTATCTGCAAAAATAAAGGTTTGTATGCACTTCTCTTTTGTCATTCAAAGCAGGGAAATATGTTTTCCTCCAATGAACACATTAATGCTCTTTAAACAAGGGGAAAATTTGCATCTGTTGTTTTCCACTTAATACCTCCGCATGAAGCTCTGGCTTGCAGTTCAGTGTCATTGTCCTCCTGAAGAAAACACATTCACAGAGTCACCCTCTAAGCTTGTGCGCTTGTGTTTTCTTAGTCTCTATGGAGACTCTTTCATGCAGAGCAAGCACATGCGAGGCACCCCTCTACAGTGGAAAGGGGAAGGGAGAATACTGTGGTAAGGTCATCATACACTAACCTTATTTGCATTTCCAAACATGACCCTTGGAACACAACGTACAATGCTTGTTCACTAAACGTTTCACAGCAATTGATTAAATTCAACTTTCAACAGATACCATGATTCACAAGTGCATAGTTGTTTTAAAGAAAAAGAAAAGATGTAGATAAATAGTATTGTCATTGTTTTTAGCATTGTGCTGCCTTTAGATGACAAATGAAACATGATGTGGTCTCTCTCCAGCATGTCCACATGGAGGCGCTGTTCTGTCTGTCTGTCAGTGGTGTTTTCTGTCCTACTCAGAAGGAGCTCTCCTGTCAGGGGGAGTCAGATGTCTGACTTTGAAGAAGATGACAGAGCAGCACTACAGAAGCACTTGGAGTCAGCATTTAAACACAAATGACTCAAGGCTCCTTGTGACATTATTACAAGGACAAAAATGATGTGGTGAAAAAGCAACAGGATAGATTAAAAGGAAAAAAAAGTCTTGTCTTTAATCAAATGAAGGGTGTTTAAGTTTTATGTTCTTTAAATTTGCTGTTCATGTGTGGGCACTACAAAAGTGACCATATTATAGCAAAGCTCAACATCACATAATCAA